CCGTGAATCATCATGTCTAACACAGTGCATTAGACATGAGGATGCCTAGAGACATACCACCAGAGCAGAGGGGGAGAGAGGCTGCAATATTAATTCTAATATTTTTTTATTTTTTATTTCAGTTTCAGGTTTTAACCTTTGGGGAGCAATGATTTCAACTGGATTAGTGTGCACATTCTACTGTTCACTGGTATGTTATTTTTCATAGTCTGAATATTAACTTAGTGTCACTCCCTTTCATGATTATAATGTAACTGAAATATAGCTAAGATCAGTGGCGTAACTAGTGACCTCAGGGCCCCATGCAAGAATCCATGAAGGCCCCCCCCCCCAAGAAGAAACACATTCGATTTTTTTTTTTAAACAAAATTTAGACAAGGAAAGAAAAAAAAACATTGCCCTCTTTCATCTCCCCATTATCTCCCCCTTCATGTCCCCATCGTTCCGCTCCCGGACCCCATGTCACCTTCGTTGATACTTCCAGCTATGGCCGCGACCTCTGCGACCCTGGTAGTTCCGCCACTGGCTAAGATAAAGTAACTATAATTATTTTATACAAAGAAAATATGACAATCCACTCTATAGAATATATATGTTTTCATTAAAACACATTAAATGCATATGTAAAGGAAATGTATGTCTTATTTGTGTATGCTTTTTTGTATGTGTTCAAGAATTTCCCATGAATATTTCATATCTAAATTTCCACACAGCAAATGGAGCTCTAGGTTCATGTTTACCTGTTTATTTTCATCTTACACTGATCTCTACATGCAACCAAAATTATAAGATTTAAAGAAGAATGCCAGGAAATTTGTTATTAACTCTTGTAGTGGGGCTACCCCCGCACTGTAACGGTTAACTGCTTGTTTGTGTCTAGATTAAAAACAAAACAAAGATATACTCACCCAAAGTTCCGAGCTGGCTTCTTCTTAAGGTGCCCATACACCTTACAATTATCTGCAGATTTTCTATAGTCAGATGGAAAAAGTGCAACAAATTCCTCCATCTACACTCAACTGTGTGGATGGTGGAATCTCCCACTGGGCCAAGCTTCAGTATCATGCTAGTCGGCCCCACTGGCTGTCAAAATACCTGAACAATCTGATTGGATGCCGGCATTGTTCAGGTGTTTTGAAAGCCAGCAGGGCCGACCAGCAAGGTTATGGAAGATTGGCCCAGGTGGAGATTACTCCATCCACACAGTTAAGTGTAGATGGAGGAATCTGTTGCACCTTTTTCATCTGACCACAGAAAATCTGCAGATAATTGTAAGGTGTATGGCCAGCTTAAGACCAGTCCTTCCAACATCTCTCCCCCTCCTCTGAAGCGGTCTGTGACAGCTGTCTGGCTCGGAGCTCCGGGTGAATATATCTTTGTTATTTTAGCACCTACACACAAACGAGCACTTAACCCTTGCAGTGGGGGGTAGAGGGGGTTAATAAATAAAAATCCCAGGAGTTCTTCTTTAGTTGTCAGAATGCAAGACCTACATTGTAATACTAACAATACATTTAGACATAAACCAACAGAATTACTCCAGACTTAAATACTGTCTCTCTGCAATTGAATATGTTAATGTATTTTTTTTATGTGAATGTATAAGCACACTGACTCAAATAGTTTGTTGAATCTTGCATCGTTCGCTTATGTTTACTTTGTTTGTAAACTTGTAGGCTACATTCACACCTGTATCTTTAAGTGCAATTAGGGATTCCTGCATCAGGAACTTGTGATTTCCTGCAGCAGGAATCTCGAATCTGCCATTTACAAGTGACAGTTGTCACCCATTTGAGTTAATTAACGGGTGTCAGCCGCTGCTTTTAAAAGCTGGCACATCACATCTAATTGTATGTGATACAATTACATGCGGTTAGGAAGCAATCACTCTCCCTGTCTCAGCTTCTTAGGACATTAAACTAAACTGAGCACGCTTGGTAGATGTGGGGTTATGGCCTAGAGCTGACTGGCCCACTTAACTTTGTCTCCAAATCCTCCTAAAGGTGTCAGTATAACTCATGGTATGGAATCTACAGAGCTGTGTCCCTCAATGAATGATGGAGAAAATTAGTCTATACTGTCCATATAGTTTGATGGAAAAAAATGTATAGTTCTGTTTAAAAAAATATAAAAATGTCTCCTCCTAAATATCTTCATGTCTTGATGTTTTTTTGTTATATGTGTCCTGGTATCACTGTATTGTATTAACATTCTGTCAGTAAGCAAAGAGTCCTTTGGTTTAATCAATTGACCAAAAATGAAAAATGATTCCTTGCAGTACAAACAAGTTTAGGTAAGCCACATGAAGTAGGAGGTAAATGTGGGTGAATAAAAATACAAGGAGACAAATGTCAAGGAACATAAAAGGCTATCAGTATTGGGGATATATAGGTGTGCCGAATGTTTCATTAGTTGTTGTTATTAATAACGTAGAGACCATTGCAAAGGGGAAGAGGCTAACTATAAATTCTGTAATTTTAGAGCTTAAGGGGATTATCTATACTACTGCTGCCAATGTAATAATACCATTCGTTCCCCATTCCAAAAGATTACAATCCTGCCACCATGTCAACAAAGACTCTATAAGGATAGGGCCTGCTCTTTGTAATGTTAGTGTTCATTTTTTTTTCTAAATTTGTATTTTCTAAAAACAAAATGCTACTACTTATGTATGATACACAAATGCTGTTTAGTTAGGGTATGTATCTACTTTAATTTCTTATAACACCCACCGCTACAGTAATGTTTCTCTTTCTTTTTTTTTTAGGGTGGTCTTAAAGCTGTAATCTGGACAGATGCATTCCAGATAGTTATTATGTTGGCAGGATTCATAGCTGTCATTATAAGAGGTGTGGTGGTGCAAGGTGGGATCCAGACCATACTGAATGATTCCTATTATGGTGGAAGACTAAACTTCTGGGAGTAAGTATCCTAATACTGTATGCCAAGTATCATATAGGTACACATGATGTAAGATGATTATCAGTTGACCTGGCTGATTTTGGTCAGATCCAGTAACAATTTAAAGTAGACAGCCCTAAATAGTAATTTTAAAGGAAGAGGTAGTTGGAATTTTTTCGTAAAGAAAAAGACCAGCACTGAATTGCATTTGTAGTGCACACTTTTTTATCAATGTATTATTATTCATGTTTAGGCACTGATCATATAATAACCCTCCAATTGAGTGGTTTAATAATTCTCACATGCCCATCTTAAAGTGTATATAAACCCTTACAAGAATGTTTTCTTATTTTGTCCCCTTTGGTCTGTTAAATATACCACGTCCACTTTCTGGTGCAGCTTAACGCTTAAATATGCAGGTACCAACTCCCCCAATTCACTAAAGTAAAATCCTTTTTTGAGTTACTGCCCATGGTCAGTATCTAAAATAAGGGTGATGCTGTGATTATGGGACGCAGCCCAGGACACAGTATCATCGAGACAGAGGCCCAAGATGCGGGACTGTCCTGGCAAATCCGGGAGAGTTGGTATCTTTGGAGGCAGGTGACACAGGAAGCTGCAAATCTGTTTTAGGCTGGGTTCACACCTAGGCTACAGCATTTTTGCATGTTTCTACGTGCGTTTTTGATGCACGTTTTTGTGTGCGGTTTTTGCATGCGTTTTAGACACATAAATCATGTTGCACGTTTTTGTGAGCAGGCTCTGAATATCAGGTGACTATAACTTTGTTATTGTCCTCCCTAGACTTAAATTAACAGTTAACCTTTGCAGTGTGGGGGTACCCCAACTGTAAGGGTTAATAATATTTTCCCCTCAGCGTTCTGCTTTAATGGTTTTCATGCACTGCACTAATAATTCCCAAATAGCCTTCAACAGCTGTATTCACTTTGTAACAAATGACGCTAAGCTGTAAGCTGTATTAAGCTGTATTGGTGTTATAAATCAGTACGTCTGGATGCAAATCAAAAATAATACACCTTTTTTTCTCGACTTGTGATGCAAGTAATGGCATATAAATATCTTTTTGTTTTAGACAGTTTTACTGTGCTGTGTAGTTACTTACACAATTATAAAAATATGCGTAAACATAAAAATGAGGTATGAAAAACACAAACATTCAAAATCCAGTCAATAACTATTTATGCAGTTATAATGATTTCTGACTTGTGAAATGTTTGTTTTCTTGGCAGCCAGCAAGCATGTTTTATTAGGTGGATATTTATTTGATATTAATGGTAGTTTTTCTTGCCATTTTACTATCAAAACTGTCACAAACAGGCCTGTTTTGGGCTTATCCAATGAAGCACAGTAGAACATTTTTAAAACACAAAGTTGGAGCCATGCTAATTTGCCCCTAGTTGCCCCTGGGCCTACTATACATCCAAAGCCTCTGGTTTATAGCAAAGATACAGCCTGATATCATATAGCCATTTATACCAAATTGGGCACAGCTGTTTCAGGCAAGTTGGGTAATGTTAGTACGGTGCATGGAAACCATGGGGTTAATCTACTAAAGGCAAATAGGCTGTTCTCTTTCCAAGGGAATTTTTCCTTAGCTTAGTGAATGTGGTGAAAGTTCCCAATCACGAGCAAGAAGATGGTAATCAACAGAGCTTCACCTCCTTCACTAATCTAAGGGGAAATTCCATTGCAAAGTGGGCAGCCTATTTGTCTATAGTAAACAAACCCTAATGTCCTCTATGGAACAAGGCTTAGGGACCAATGAGAAAGTATAACCAGAGGGTTACAAAAGGAAAGAACCAAAAAGGAATCGAAAAGTCCTGTGCTAAATAAGAACCTGGTTCTGGCTGCAGAGTTGGCCAAGTGGCATAAAGGCATGATTTACATAGCTACACCCACTGTAGCCATGCAAATAAGAAATAAACCCCATGTTCTGGGGATATGTAATGAAAGTAAGACATGTGAATACCTTCTTTTTCTATTTAATGTATTTTATTTCTATTTTAGAATACCTATTTTAAGAGTGCTACTCTGCTTTGCACTGGTTCAGTGGATGGCTGTTTGGTTAGTTTTGCCCACCTCACCATAACCTGCTGAGCTTACTAAATAAAACAGTGCAGGGAGCAAAATGTAGTATCCAACCAGCAATCAATCAGAATTTTTCTTGTACTGATATAACCCCGAGAATGTAAATTCCAATTGGTTGCTGTGGTTTACTGCCCTAAGTACTTTATTACTTGCGCTCGTTCTTGAATACACCTGTTTTGTCCATGTATCATATATTTTTCAGATGTGTCTCTAGTACCGTTATATCGTCTCTATTTTCCGTAGTTTTGATCCCAATCCTATGCGCAGACACACATTTTGGACGATTGTCATTGGTGGAACATTTTTGTGGACAGGAATCTACGGTGTCAATCAGTCTCAAGTGCAGCGCTACATAGCTTGCAAGACAAGATTACAAGCGAAACTGTGAGTTATATTTGGTTTAGAAATCAGTAGTATAGATTTGGATTAAATATATGATTTCTTTATCATGTGGAAATATTTCTTGTCAAAACTAAAACGGCAAAAAAAGTCCCCATGTCTAAGATAATACTATCACAGGAGATTTGCATTATTCCTGTTTATAAAATAATTTTCTGGAAAGAACTTGACCCATGTGTTTGGTAATATAACATTTCATAGTTTATAATGCACATTTAGAGCCTTTGCTCTAACATCAAGGAGGGCAGTAACACCTTACTGCAGTGGTCTCCAACCATTGTCTGACTGTTGGAACACCTGCTGCATTATTTCTTTTCCACAAGCTGTAGAGAATTTGCATTACTTTAATAAAACAATTAAAGTGACACCAAACTCAGGAGTTAAATCTTTAAAATGCATTCCGGTACCTTAATCATTAACGGAAATGTTTCTTTTGTTCCCCATGGACCCTCTGTGTGTTGTACAGTAGTCACCACTCGAAGTTCACTCCTGTGATGGACTACAATCTCAATACAAATGAGTAAACTAAACATTAAACTACAGTCCATAACGGGAGTGAGCATGGAGTGGTGGCTTCTTTACAACACACAGGAACCATGGGGAACAAAAGTAACCACCCTCCAGAAGGAAGGACAGCGTCAGCAGCAATTCAGAGATGATTTGAGGAACTACAGTCGAATGATACACAAATAAGATACATTTTTGTTAATAGTTGAGATACTTAAATGTATTTTTAGGATTTAACTCCTGAGTTTAGTATCACTTTAACTTATTGTTATACTAAGGTGACTTAAGGGCCTGAGTTGTATTTAGTTAGTACTCAGCTACTACTGTTTCTTTGAGCAAATGTTGACTTATCGTACTTATAACTTTGTCAACATTTGTTCAAGTAGACGTTTGTACTTATCAAAGAGGGAAAAGGTGCATTTACCCAGACCAGAAGATAAAGGTTATCTAGTAATAAAACAATGTAATCTAGTTGTGAAAATTAAAAATAAAATAACTCACAATCCCATTCTTTTATGTCTTTATTAAATACACTTTTGAAATATTAACAGATTATGCTGAAAAGCATGCAAACCCTTGTGTTTCGTAAACAGCAGTAACAATTTTAGTATGAAAATAAGCAAGGATTTCAGATTGTATGATAATAGACCTATAACTTTAACTGGCACTAATTATGTGCAATCCATTCATATATAACAAGGATTTCTATTGGTAATTCCTATATCATAAAAAGTCAATAAATGCATGATAATACAATCAAGGCTTCCATAGGTATAGAAATATATTATGGAAAAAAAATCCTTCCCTGCAAAATGCTTTTAAAATGTTCTATCGATATACACTATATTACCAAAAGTATTGGGACGCCTGCCTTTACACGCACATGAACCTTAATGGCATCCAAGCCTTCGTCCATTGGGTTCAATATTAAGTAGGCCCACTCTTTGCCACTACAAATGCTTCAATTCTTCTGGGAAGGCTGTCCACAAGGTTTAGGAGTGTGTCTATGTGAATTTTTGACCATTCTTCCAGAACTGCATTTGTGAGGTCAGGTAGTGATGTTTCACGAGAAGGCCTGGTTCTGCTCTAATTCATCCCAAAAGTGTTCTATCACTTTGAGGTCAGGACTCTGAGCAGGCCAGTCAAGTTCCTCCACCCCAAACTCGCTCATCCATGTCGTTATGGACCTTGCTTTGTGCACTGGTGCGGAGTCATGTTGAAACAGGAAGGGGCCATCCCCAAACTATTCCCACAAAGTTGGGAGCATGAAATTGTCCAAAATGTCTTGGTATGCTGATGCCTTAAGAGTTCCCTTCACTGGAACGAAGGGGCCAAGCCCAGGCCCTGAAAAACAACCCCACACCATAATCCCCCCTTCACCAAACTTTACACTTGGCACAATGGAGTCAGGCAAGTACCGTTCTCCTGGCACCCCCCAAACCCAGACAATTCCATCGGATTGCCAGACAGAGAAGCGTGATTCGTCACTCCAGAGAACACCTCTCTACTTCTCTAGAGTCCAGTGGCAGTGTGCTTTACACCACTGCATCCAACGCTTTGTATTGCACTTGGTGATGTAAGGCTTGGATGCAGCTGCTCGGCCATGGAAAACCATTCCATGAAGCTCTACACACTGTTGCTGTGCCAATCTGAAGGCCACACGAAGTTTGGAGGTCTGCAGTTATTGACCCTGCAGACAGTTGGCGACTTCTGTGCACTGTGCACTTCAGAATGCGCTGACCCCACTCTGTCATTTTACATGGCCTACCACTTCGTGGCTGAGTGGCTGTTGTTCCCAGTTGCTTGCACTTTGTTATAATACCACTAACAGTTGACCGCGGAATATTTAGTAGCAAGGAATTTCACGGAACACCTGAATGTAATGATTTGAAGGGGTGTCCCAATACTTTTGGTAATATAAAGGGAAATTATTCACAAAAGGGTGAAAAGTTTGGAGAAGCAGGAGAAGTGAACAATCTAGGACAACACCGCTGAACTGGAAAGTGAGCTGAATTGGATAATTTTTCCAAATCAGCTATTTTGGCCTAGATTGTTCACGTCTCCTGCCTTCTCCAAACTCTTCACCCTTTTGTGAATAACCCTGACAGTGTATATGTATATGGTGTAGTAATATTTCACAATCATTTTAAATTAATAATGGCAAATTGAATAGTCAGCTATCTAAAGATAACTCATTTTATAGACCAGGACATAAACAAAGTGTTCTTATGGCGATTCCACTGAAAGTTTCTCCAACAATCAACATATGCAGTCCCTTAGAACAGGAAAAACATTTAAAATAATTATGTATTTTTTGTTAATCTAGAAAGTGTAAACTCATGTTGTTAGACCGGTTAAGGGAACCTAATAGGTATCTGGAGTGATTATTAGACTAATTACCCCTCAGAATCCTTCCAATATTAACGGTCCAGTACATACTTTGTTCATCAGTACCAAGCCCTGATGAAGGGGCACCCCTTGAACTCCTGAAATGCATTAGCTTTTTATAATATGAGTCTGAATAAAGCAAAAATGTAATCTGGACTTCATAAGTTATACTTTTGGTGCTTTCCTCCTTGCACACTAGCAGTGTTATTCACAAAAGAGTGAAGAGTTTGGTGAAGGCAGAAGAAGTGAACAATCAAGGCCAAAATAGCTGATTTGGAAATAAATCTCCAATTCAGCTCACTTTCTGGTTCATCTATGTTGTCCTAGATTGTTCACTTCTCCTGCCTTCTCCAAGCTCTTCACGCCTGTAAATCTCTATTAAAGGGACAGGTAGAACTGTATGAACTTTAGAGTTCTGGAGCTCCCAGACCAGACCCCCTGTGAGATTTCCTATTTCAGTGACTTCTATTTTAGTCTGATAAGACCATAAGTAGGTCTCTCACTTCTTGAAAGTCTAGAACAGAGTTTTTTGTTATTACCTTTATGTGTGTTCCGTAATCTGTACTAACATCGTAGATTTGACCGTTTTGGTGCCCTCTGTCCCTGACATCTCTTCTTGTGACCCATTTACAGAACTATATGTAGAAACTAGAAATCTTGCAACAAATACTGTCAACTATTAACCGCATTTTGATTTGTTGTTTTGAAAACATTTAAACATGTTATTTTTTAAAATGATGTTTATATTTTATAGGTCTCTGTACTTTAACCTGTTAGGACTATGGGCAATCTTGGCCTGTGCAGTGCTTTCAGGCCTCATTTTATACTCCGTGTATAAAGATTGTGATCCATGGACTTCAAAGCGTGTGTCTGCTCCTGATCAGGTATTTAACAAAAAAATCCCTGCTACCCCACTGCAAGGGTTAAGAAAAAATTTCCCCAGAGATGCCTCCGCTATACTCGCAAGGGTTTAAGTGCTTGTTTTTATTTAGGGTCTAAAATAAAAAGAAATACTCACCTGAACCTCGGTCCCAACTGGCTCTTAGACCCGTCCCTTCAGCCTCTCTCTCTTCCATCGCCAGGAGGGTGAGAGTGGCTGCAGGGACTCATCTTGCAGCCACGTGGGTCTGAGGTTGGCGGGGTATTTCTTTTTATTTTAGACCTTAGATGAAAATGAGCACTTAAAAAGGAACTTTACCTATATCTTCAAAATGACAACATACAGTATACTATATATCTATAGAAATATATATATCTATATACTTCTAGATACTAGATAATTGCAGACTTTTTATTTTTGTATACCTTTTTTTTTTTCCTCCCCATTCTTCTCACAGTGGCTATTTTGTTTACTAAGGGCAGATTATTATATCTCCCTTTACTTCCTGGAACTCTGGCACATGTGATTAGGACATGTGACCATGCACATCATCTCAGGGAAGGGAAATTCCTTTCTCTGAGATCTCATGAGATAACAGATAAGATTTCTCAGCAATGCTATTTGATGTTACCTTCCAGGATGCAACGCTTGGGCACATTACATCATTTGTGCCCAAGAGGACCAGAAAGTAGAAAAAAAGAAATTGTAATAAAAATAAAAATATGTTTGTTTAACTAATAAATATAAGATGATTTCATATCAGCATGCAGAGCTGAAGTCTGATGTGATTTTTAGTGAAAGGGGTAAAGGTCCACTTTAACCCTTCCAGTGCGGGGTTAGCCCCACTGCAAAGGTTACGTTTTCTACTGCCCAGAGTACTTCTTATGATTGGAGTTGTTCTTATGTGTCTTATGATTGGGGTTTTGCCCATGTGATCACATTTGATAATTTTCCTCACCTGCAGGTTTAAAAAAAATGGGTGTTGCTCAGTGATTGGCATCCATTTAGCATTATACATCCAAAACAAATGTTGCTGCTATTTTCTGGGAAGAATGTATGTGTGACTCACACAGGTAATATTCCCAGTTTGCTATACTATTTCCTTGTAAATTAAGAGCATCAGATAAAGCCAATATAACTTTATGCTGCTGATATGACTACGATATCTTATAATATGAAATGATTTTTTTTTTAAATTGGCATGGAAGATGTCTAGTCTTCTTTGTATTATTGTATACCAATTAAAACAATAAAGGCTCATTCACACTAGCCTGTGCGCTTAAACTGAACATCTAGCAGGTGGGCTAGTGTGTTGTGACAGCTCCAGCAGTGTGCTGCAGTTATTTTTGACAATTCATTTTAAGCTTATTTGGAAATTCTCCTTTCATATTGTGAGTGCTGCCTATCTGTTGGCCATTTCTTTCAACACCTTCCTGGTTTTCTGGCATTTAACTGGCAATTTAGATAAATTTATAAGTACTACATATTGACTACGTATTGTATATTAAATTGCTGGTTGCCAGCAGTGATGATATTACATTTGGGTCATTTCCTGCACTGACTGTGCTTCCTGAAATTTCTGTTCAGCACCATGTAGTTCAGATGGCAGATTCTGTAAAATTTCTGGCAGCACACAGGGCATATTTACGGGCCACAGTAAATACATGTCACAACATTAAAGAAAATCAGTCCTGTGAAATTCTTCAAAGAGTAAGTTTACAAACAATGGAAATGGATACATGATTTTGCATTTTTATTATATGTACTACTTTAACTTGTCTTTGTTGTTTCAGATCATGCCATACTTAGTGCTACAAATTCTCCAGAACTACCCAGGAGTGCCTGGCCTGTTTATAGCATGTGCTTATAGTGGCACTTTAAGGTGAGTAGTCAATATTCTCAAATATTATTTCTAAAAGAGACATGTTTACTTGGCTATACTTGTTTATGAGGCCTGTGCACCCAAATGTGACACTACTGTATAGGTGAAATCTGGTTACCCTCTCTGCCATAGTTCCAGATTCTGTTACTGGCCTCCTTGGTGTCTTGCTTGCATCCACCAACTTGGTATGCTCCCTCTCTTACATTCTCCACAATATAACTTTACTAAAAATTTTGTAGGAAGAGCTTAGAAAATAACAAAGATGAGAGACTGGTAGGTGGGTTCGCATTCCAACATTTACCATGAAGGTAAACTTATTTTGATGGAATGGCCTGATCATACTATTTCAGAAGAAAGGACAATAATTATGTGCACAGTGCAGTATTCCATAATAGTTAATCAGATCTGATTACAGCCTGATTAGTTTAATTCTATGTCTGTGTGCATAGAAGGCAACAGTGTACATGTCTTAAAGCAGGGCTCAAAATTTCCTCTCGCCCCCTCGAAATTTGCAAGTGAAAATTGCATGGGGGCGAGTGGAAATGAAGCCATTGAGTCAGGCACTCAACTCCTGTAGGGACTCCTGGACCTCCTCGGGATGGCTTCTCTCCTCCTCACCGTTGAACAGGCTGTGATTTACATCACAGTCTGTTCATTCAAGATTTCCTCAATGGGGAGAAGCACTCAGTACAGAGGCTCCTCCCCATTCAGAAACTATTGATAGTAAATATTTTACTATCAGTGTCTGAATGAATGGGAAGCCTCTGTACTGAGTGCTTCCTATTCACTGAGTGCAGAGGCTGCTGAAAAAGAAATTGAGGATTTGGTGTCCTCAATTTCTTTTCTATTTTAAACATTATACCACAATGCAGAATAATAGTATATGAATTTGGTACATACTCTGTGCTGCCCTTCGGCTTTCAGGGTGCTGGCCTGGTAGGTCCGCCCCTACACACAACTGCATACTACAGAAGTACTGCAGACCAAGAACTGTAGAGCTGACGTCTAGGCACATTGCTTAATACAGACACAGATGTAATATACAGTTTATAAGGGAGCTGTTTTACATGGTCGCAGATTTGTACTTTTGTCCATCCAATCCTGAGAGCTATACAGCTGTGTCTAGCAGGGCTGATGACTAGGTTGTTCTTTGCTGCAGGCAAGTACAACTTGCAGGTCTTGTCCATCCCCCAGCTTGTGACTGAACAGTGAAAGCAGAAGCAGTAGCATGGTGAGGTTATCTCTCTGATGCTCTTTTCTGCTATCAGTGTGTTCCTTTTTAGTGCATGAGAATTTCAGCACAGATAGATGGCCCCTTGTGCTGCCCCTTCCTCTTTGCCTGAGGTCTGCTGTACAGGGACTGCAAGAGGCTAATACAAGTCAAATTCAGGTACTTACACTGCTTGCATTTAGAAAAAATACACTTGATAATGCATTATGGAATTAATTTTTTTATGTGCCCATAGTTTAGTTTATTTTAGTCAAGGGAATAATGTGGTACCTGCAATATATTATGATTACAATAAAATACCCATATTATTTAAACAGGTTTAAAATAAATACATTTTATTATGTGAAGTACCGTATTTTTCGCTCCATAAGACGCACTTTTTCCCCCCAAAAGGAGGGGGAAAATGTGCCTGCGTCGTATGGAGCGAATCCTGACGCCCGAGACATGCAGTTTCGGGCGCTGGGCGAGTAGTAGGAGCCACTGCTCGTTTAATACGAGTGATCTAATGAGATCACTCGTATTAAAGCCGAGCAGCGGCGACGATGGAGATCACCATAGAGCAGACGAAGAACGGACTTTCTTCGTCTGCTCTGTGTGATCACTGAGACCGTGGCGCTGTAATCACAGCGCCACCTGTCTCAGCGGTCACTAACTGCAGCTTCTGTCACAGCTTCTGTCATAGAAGCTGTGTCAGAAGCTACAGTCTGTCGACTGCTCCATAAGGAGCGCCGGACCTCCCTGCGTCCTATGGTCCGGTGCGTCTTATGGACCGCAAAATACTGTAACTCTTGGGTGTAAATTAGTTTTACATTCAATGACAGTTTTAATGATGGAATACTTTTAAACAAATGAAAAAAAACTTGATTTATACTATTATTTTCTGTACTGTAGTTATTACATTTAAAAGCTATATTTTAAGCATTTCGGTTTGGTATATTGCTATTCTTCATATGCAACTACAACCATTTTTTACAAAATTGCCATTGTTGCATAAAAGTGTATACTCTTACATGCTATATTGAGTGTAGTGCAATATGTTCTTACATAAAGGGGTTTTAAGAAAATATAGAATTATTTAGGAATTTTTGGAACAAGCATAAGGCCCCGTTCCCACCAGGGCAGTTCAGCCGTGGAGGTTTGGCCATGCGGATCCGTCGACATCAATGATTCCATACATTGCTGTGGGGACCGTTCATGCAACTGCGCGGCTCAGCGCAATCCAAACCACCCCCACCCGAACTGCTCCCTGCACTATTTTTGTCACGCTGATCAGTGTAGTTTCCATACAGCTTTCAATGGAACCGCGCTGAAACGCAATAAAAAACTACCAAAACCTCCCTTTTGACATGAGCGCGGTAACCGCAATGATCCGCAAATGCCCTGGTGTGAATGGGCTCTTATACTGCTTGAATAACATGGCATAAACCAGTTGTGTACAGTAATTCATACCGTAGCAGCCAGAAAGAGATCAGCTTGGCAGTTCAATGAAAGCTGATTTCTGACTAGTTATTACAGACCTGTAAATAATCTCTAAAAGGATCCCGCGCCCCTATGTCACCTTCTGCAACACCCAGAAGTAAAATGTTACTCGATGGGAGTTATCCACTAAGCTGCCAAAGGCAGCCAAGTGAATAACCGAGCCGAAGTGAAGTGAGCCGAACACCGTTCGGCTATTCACTTCAGCCAACTGGCTTTGGCTCCCTTTGGTTGAGCCGAACATGTTCAGCATGTTCAGCTGAGCTGAAGTAAAGGACACGTTGGACTTAGCTGATCCAACACCGGGATCAGCTGAGCCAAAGCTCCGGCAGTTCACTCGCTGCTCTCCGCCCCTTTTCTCGTAAAATGCAATGTACGTAGGGTGGTGCCATGAGGGGACAGAGATACGGATGCGCTTGTGAAGTGTAAAGCTCAGCGGGAACAGGGATTGTGGATGCTGCAGAGTGAACCGGAGGGGTTTCCCTTGCACATTTTCTTTAAAAGGAACGGCGCATGAGACCTAGATTTGGGTCTAATATCAAAGTGAGAGGCGAGGAGTGTGTATTAAACGGTGGAAGTGACACGTCCGGCAGTATCTCTGAGAAAACTACCGTGGAGGTCCTTTCCTTCATCCTAGCACCTAGGTCTCTGAACTCCTGTTTAAGGACACTCCAATTTCCTCCTATTTTGTCATTGGTGCCGATGTGCGCACGGGTGGAAGAGACTGGTTTTTGAACACAGCAGTGTTTTTTTTTAATAGAATCTAAAGCAAGTGTTTCAATAACTTAAACTACATTGGCTTAAGTGGACTATACACAATGGACACTATAATATAGGGTATTTGTTCACAACTACACAGATTAGTGGTAATTTGTGGGTGGAAACAGAAGTATAAGCACATCTAGAGTGATTCATTGGATTTTTTGAGGATGTAATTTTGTACAACTGATTATTTTAATCACCTTATTTGCTTAGCAATCATTTTCACTATTGATTTCACTTTTGTAACAATTTTTTGAAGATTTTTTAGGGTGGTAAGTGCGACACCATTTATATATATTTATGACAGACCCGTAAGTGTGACTGTGATATGACGTACACCCATGTGCAGTGGAATAGTGCTGCAAGTCATTGCTCTTTGCACTATGTAAACCAGGAAATGTCTAACTCACTGAATAACTATGAACAAAGTCTTCTCTGTGTCTGTTTTTTTGTTCTCAGCACAGGTGCTATTAATTATTTGCCTGGGAGGAAATTCACAATTTCACTTGTGAATACAGTAGTCATGACATAAATTCTCAGGTGATTGCTTCACAAAAGTAGAGTTCATTGCTTTTGTAATGGCAGATGAGACAGGTACTATCGTTTTGTTAACAGATAAAAACAAAGAAAAGAAGACAAAAGAGGCCCATAGTGTAGTAAATTCAATTCAACTTTAATATAATTAATGCCAAATGCACTTACAAAACACGGCCGCCCTGGAAGCAGTAAAGCCAAAACAGCATGCACCGGAGAAAATCGTCCCTTTCAGCATCTGCCTCTTGCTATAGCCATGGACAGGAGAGGTAAGCCATAGCCCCAAGCAGAGAAGATGCTAAAGTGGTTTGAGAACGGGAGATTGGAACATGTCAGCAGGCTCTGCCCCTCTGGGTTATATACCTCCCAACTTTCTGAAATGAGAAATTACACCTTCCAGCACAATACATTTAGGCAATGGATACATCCCTGCCACGTCCCCAGTTTTGTTGTTTTTCACCATTGCTTTTCCTTTATTATTCCTTTTCAAAATAGCAAACAAGATAACTACGAGATAAGTAAAGGTTTTAGTGCAAAATAACACTTTTTAGCAGTTAGCTAGAAGCTTTTCATAAATATCTGTACACCAGACCAAGAAGGGGGACAACTGAAGAGAAAAGGGAAGCTATGATTTGGTTCCCAGAGGGACAGTTGGGAGGTATGGGGTTATATGAGCTGATTGCCAAAAATATAATGGATTAGCACACAAACCCTTGGTTTACAAATTAAAACTTGGCCTGATTTCATTAAAATGTACACTGTGGTGAGGTGTATCTATATTTATAAATATCCATGCAGTTGATCTGGCGACAGGTAAGTCGCCAGGATCGCTTCTGTTGTAAAGCCGACAGACTACTAAGTCACTCTTATTTTGTAGAATTCCGTAGGATAAAATATAAGTGATATTGGGGAACAGATCTTCAGCCAGAAGGTGAGGGTGTGCTGTAAACCTTTTCATCTGCCTTATCTTAGTATAATTTAAAATGCACTGTAACACACTTTTAATGCACTGCAACATATGGAAAGTACATATAGCATGGCTATTCTGACTCCGATTGTTGTAATAGTGATTTCTCCCTTGCTGAGACCTCTATGCCTGGCCTGTATAAGGAGATATAAACACTGCTGATAATCCTTATCAGATAGCTGAACTCACCGAATACATCCACAAAATGCTCAAAATGCTTTATTGCCTGCAGCAGGTTACAGCAGACAACAGGATACAGCATATAAATGAACAGATGGTAATTGAAGGACAAGGATGATAATGTTTCCAAGCTAGCATGTACTTGTAGTCCTGCTATAGGTAGCCATGACACTAAACGACTATTGGAGAAGAAGGGCGGTACATTACACACAAGGGGAGGGAATGCAGAAAAACATGGTGCAATAACCAAAATGCCCACAAGAGGCAGTATAATGACCAGCTATACAACTGCCATAACACATGGCTTAAGGAAAATGAATTCCCAACTCACAGTAATATAAATATTAACAGTGGCTATGCATTGTGTCATATTTTTACAACTGTGTAACAGGAAAATGACACAAGCACAGTTTTAAATGTAGAATAAATGTGGCCACTTGGGAAATACTGACTTATATAAAGGCTTATGTGTATGCATGTATAATATCTGTGACTGTTTTCATTTCTCCACGCCATGGTTTACCCAATAGTATACCCAGTAGATGTTAGGCAAATTTAACAGGACTTGTTCTGTAATGTTGAAGACCTTTACTCAAATGAGGAAGCAAGACGAGGAAACCCCTTGGTTGAGTGGAGAGACATCTTCCACATACCAGAACAAGTCCCGTTGAATGTGACTAACCACTATTACCTAAGGGATTACATAAATTAACATCTGAGATAACTGATTTATACTATGTTTCTTTCATTAGCACAGTCTCATCCAGCATCAATGCCCTGGCAGCTGTTACAATGGAGGACCTCATAAAACCATACACAAACCTATCTGAGAAAAAGCTGGCATGGCTCTCAAAAGGAATGAGTGAGTCTTAAAACAAACTTCTTTACATATTTCTTTGCAGCATAGAACTGGAATAAAATGTTGAAATCTTTGCAGAAGCATGGCCTCAGCTGACAGTTAGTATTCGTTACATCTGTAAATGTGCACATAGTCAGAGTGCTCTCTTGTCAGCTGGTAGATGGGTTCAGGAAATAGAAAGCACTCCTGGCAGTCTTTGGTTTAAGTACCTTTACAGTCAGTGACCTGGAACCAACATGCAGAAAATTAGAATATAGGGAAGCCAGAACTCCTGATTAAGGATGGGCCGAGTGTTCGATTCGAACATGAGTTCGAATCAAACATCGGCAGTTCGAGCGCTCGCCGAGTGCCGAACTTTATGGGATGTTCGCGGTCTGTTCGACCGCGTACATTCCATAATACAAAATGCCCACTGAAGCTCTGATTTGTTAAAGTCTTGCACCTGACCACAGGTCAGGTGCAAGACTTTGCCCAATCAGGGCTCAGCGGAGGAGGGGCCTGAAGAAGAAAGTTCTCTATCAGGTCCCCCTATGCTGATTGACAGCATTTTTATAAATTGTGAAATTATCACACAGTGATGAAACCTGTGTTACACAAAGCCTGTGCTAATGATACTTCAGAAAAAACTCTTGGTCTAATGGTCTACACCAGGGCTCAGAATTTCAGGGCCTGAGCTACTAGCCAGGCCTTAAGAGTTACTCCGCATGTTGCCCCACCTAACCCCTACCCTGCCCCGGCCGTAAGTCCGACAGCTCAGCAGTGTGACGCAAAGTACAGAGATCAGTAACAACACAGAGTGCAGAGGTCAGTGGTGTAATGCCGAGTACAGAGGTCAGTAATGTAACGCACAATACAGAGGTCAGTAATGTAACGCACAGCGCAGAGGTCAGTAATATAACGCACAGTACAGAGCTCAGTAATGTAACGCATAGTACAGAGGTCAGTAATGTAACGGGCAGTACAGAGGTCAGTAATGTAACGCACAGTAAAGAGGACAGTAATTTAACGCACAGTACAGAGGTCAGTATTGTAACGCACAGTGCAGTACAAAGGTCAGTAATGTGACGCACAGTGCAGAGGTCAGTAAGGTAATGCACAGTTGAGAGGTCAGTAATGTAACGCACAGTACAGAGGTCACTAAAGTAACGCACAGTGCAGAGGTCAGCAGTACAGAGGTCAGTAACGCACAGTACAGGTCACTAATGTAACGCACAGTGCAGAGGTCAGCAGTACAGAGGTCAGTAATGTAACGCACAGTACAGGTCACTAATGTAACGCAGAGGTCAGCAGTACAGAGGTCAGTAATGTAATGCACAGTACAGGTCACTAATGTAACGCAGAGTGCAGAGGTCAGCAGTACAGAGGTCAGTAATGTAACGCACAGAGGTCAGCAGAGTAAGGCAGAAAGAACAGGGACTTACAGTGCACATAGCTGATCTGATTTAGGTGCCTTCTTCCTCTCCTGCCCTTTTCCTCTTCCTCTCCTTTTCCTGGTGGTGGTGCTGGTAGGGGGGGGGGGATAAAGAGATGTATCCTGTATGTTCACAGCTGAAGCCTCCCTTCAGGTCCCATGCTGCAAAAACTGCGAGCCGGCCAATAGCAGCTGCAGTCTTCCTCCCAGCTTATGGCTTATATAAATATATATATATATATATATATATAGAACCAAATCCTCTCCTTCGTTTTTTTGATCCGACAATCAATTGGGGTATATTCTTTCAATTTTAGCTTCTCTTTCCAAAACTAATACTATTACTAATACTATTTCTCCATATTCCACCTTCTCTTATACTCAGTGAGAGAGAGAAAAAAAACACTTTGTGCAACACAGGTGTTGTGGGTGACACATTGTTTCATTACTTTGTGATAATTTCACATTTTATAACATTTTTCTCACATTTTAGGAATATATTTTGAATTGGATTTATATTGTCCTGTACAGTATCCAAATGAAATAGGATTGCAGCATTGAGCTGATGTTGAGCCTACAGCTCTGATTATTTGTATGTAAGGTCTTTCTGTGTTTTTTTAACATATGTGCAGTTTAGGATTATAAGCTTTATTAATAAAGTGGATAATTTGAGAGAACATACTAATTTGTATCCACCAGGCCCTGATGTGAGAAATATGGTTGGTCTATCTAGACCGCTCTTAGCATTTCACACTATGCAGCCCTGGCAATTGGCCACCCGAAAGCATTCAATATTATTTACCAAGGACTCAGATGGAGTAACTGAGTGGTTGGGTTGGGTAAGTAACAATGGGAGGGAGGTTGTTTGTACTTTGCATTGAATGGACTGCCACTGATGAGCTCATTTTCAAAATACTAACTGACTGTCTTTCTGTTCAGTAGTTTCTGAGTCACTGACCTGTATCAAGTACACAGATATAAGTCAGATTTCCTGATCTGCATACTTGTCCAGATTCAGTGCCTCAGAAAGTATTGTAGGCATTGGATCAGCTGACAGCAAGGCAACTAGAATTGTCAGAAAGAGAATGGCAGCCCATATTCTCTCATAACAGCTTTCCTTTAATGACATATGCCGATGCCTGAACCACTATATATATGTGGTCATTGTTCACTAAAAAATTGATCTAGAAATATTTTTATAAAGCAAGACAAGGAGAAAAATAGCAACATATGGTTAGCCAGGTATCTTGTCTATAACAGCATTTCTAAACTTTTTTTTTTAGTCATGGCACCCTTTAAAAGTATGCAAAATCCTGAGGCACCCCAGTCTAAAATGTCAAAGATTTTAAGGGGAAGCCCATGCAAAAACACATAAAAAAGTGGGCTTCCCCTTTACATCAAAGTGCTAGCTTTAAATCAAGATTTCCCCACTTAACATCAGAGTCACCCTTTGCATCAGTAGCACTCTTTATGTCAATAGCCTCACTTTCACATCAGAAGCCCCGCTTTCATAACAGAGTCCCCCTTTTCACATCAGATTTCCCATTTTACATCAAGAGTTACCTTCACCTCATTCTTTATTCCCCCTTCACATCACAGTCCCACTACCACACAATTTTAAGGCATCCCCGAGGAGGCAAACCAGTGTGGCACAGCATCATGGTTGAGAAAGGCTGGTCTATAAGACAGTTTTGGAAGCATATGTACACTTCCTCTGCACACTGTGGCAGTGGCGTCACAAAGGGGGTGCGGCCCGCACCATGGTGACACCATTGGAGGGGGTGACACCAAAATGACTTACAGTCATTTTGGTGTCACCCCCCTCTGAAAAGTCGGGTTCTCGGTCATGGACCGAACGCCCGACGGTATCAGGAGAAAAGAGGGGACCCGGCGGCATACGTTATCCCGCCGGGTGACTGTCCCCTCCTCTCTGTCGGCGTCCATCACCAAGATGGCCGCCGGCAGGTATCAGGAGACTGCCGCGCGATGATGTCATCGTGCACGCGCACGGTGAAGTCTCGGCGGGGTGACACTCGGTTACCGCTCCGGGGGTCACCCCGCCTCGGGACGCCCCTGCACTGTGGGGTTGGTTTATTAAAGGAAAACATGCTGTTTTCCTTGCAAGGGAATTTGCACTTTGCAGGGGAAGTTTCCCTTAGCTTAGTATACTTAAGCTGACCATACACCTATAGATTATCTGCAGATTTTCTATCGTCAGATAGAAAAAGTGCAACAGATTCCTCCATCTACGCTAAACTGTGTGGATGGCGGAATCTCCCGCTGGGCCAAGCTTCAGTATCTTTCTAATCGGCCCCGCTGTATCTCAAAAAACCTGAACAATCTGATTGGATGCAAGCATCTCAGGTATTTTTAGAGCCAGCGGGGGCCGACTAGCAAGATACTAAAGCTTGGACCAGTGGGTGATTTCTCCATCCACACAGTTGAGCATAGATGGAGGAATCTGTTGCACTTTTCCCATCTGACCCTAGAAAATCTGAGGTGTATGGCCAGCTTTAGAATACCCAATCATGGCCATGAAAAAAAACAAAAAACAGTATTGTTGCTTACACATGATTGGATGATGGAAGTCAGCAGAGCTTCACCTCATTCACTAAGCTAAGGGAAGATTTCCTTGCGAAGTATAAATTCCTTTGCAAAGTGAACAGCCTTTTTGCCTTTAGTAAATCAACCCCTGTGTTTCTTTAAATAACAGTACAAGGATTACAAACACTTCTAAATAACTAGACCTACATCTTATTTTTCTGCACATCTGTTAAATTCATAATCATTTATTTGTATTTAAAAAGAAAAGGAGCAATGAAGAAAGTGCACATTCCAGTTTATCGGGTAATCGGTCTGCAAACATGTTTCTTGTTGTGACTGATCCCAACTAATGAAAAGGGAAATTGAATTAATTGCCTTGCACTGCCTTATTAAACAATCCTGGTATAATATTTTCTACATACCCATAAGGCAATTGTTCTTGTTTATGAACTCAGTCAGTCAATTCATTTCAGAATTCAAATTTGTAATTGATTGACATGACACACAGCAAAATTACTATTGATGGCCTGTGTTTTCTGACACTGGGGCACATACACTGATTACACAATTTATCAGAAGCATTATAATAATACTGGATAAAGTTTCCCTTTGCTCTTTAAAACAGCGTTAAAGCAGAACTCCGGGCAGACGAAATGTTAACCCTTGCAGTGAGGCTACCCCCGCACTGCACGGGTTAAGTGCTAATTTTAATCTAGGGTCACAAATAACAAAGACCAGTCCCTGCAGCCCCTCTTCTTCCCCTTTGCTTTGGCGGTCCAAGAACCCGTGAGGAAGTGACAGAGCGAAGGAGAAAAGAGGCAGAAGGGACCTGTCCAGCAGCTAGGAGGGACCAAGGTTCAGGTGAGTATATCTTTGTTATTTGTTACCCTAGACATAAATGAGCACTTCACCTTAAGTAAAAATTTATTTGGCCTAGATTGCCTCTTTAACTCTCAGTGACATGGATTCTATATTCCATGGACAATACGTCTATGTTGACAAGATTGCATCATGCAATTTCTGCAGTTTGTCAGCTACACATTCATGTGAAGCTCCTGCTCTCCTCTCAAAGATGTTCTATTGGATTTAGGTCCAGTGACTAGGAAGACCACTAACAAAAACTGAACTTATACGCTGTTCACTTTGCAAGGGAATTTTGCACTTTGCAAACCCAATCATGTGCAAGCAAAAATACTGTTTTTTTCTACATTTTCCTTGCACATGATTGGGTATATATTGGGCAAATTGAAAGTTCACCACATTCACCAAGCTAAGGGACGATTCCCCTACAAAGTGCAAATTCCCTTGCAAGGTAAACAGGCTTTAGTACATCAACCTCATTGTATTGTTCATTAAACCTGTTTGAGGTAACATTTGCTTCTTCTTTGCAACTATCCAGTTTTGGTCAGCATGTGACCGCTGCAGCCTCAGATTTCTGTTTTTGACTGACTGGTGGAAAACCTGATCTGGTCTGCTGCTGTTGTAACCCCTCTGCCTCAAAGTTTAATGTGTGGTGCATTCTGAAATGCTTTTCTGCTCATCATGTTTTTTTAAAATGGTTATCAGTTATGTAGCCTTTCTATCAGCACAAACCAGTCTGGCCATTCTCCTCTAACTTCTTTCATGAGCAAGGCATTTCCATTTGCTGAACTGCTACTCTCTGGCTATTTTTTGGGCCATTCTGAGTAAACTTAGAAAATTCCCAGGAGATCAACAAAAATACTAAAACAAGATTGTCTGGCACCAGCATTCATGCCATGGTCAAAATCACTGAGATTACATTGAGATTAAGTGATGTTGTACTGAATCATTCTCCGCCTCCTTATGTCTAAGAGCACTAACAAAGAAATCTCAATGTCTTCTTATCTAATATAGCCAATAATGGTGTTTTTAATTAATTTGACCTAATATGGAACATGGACACAGTAAAATTCCAGGAACTCTGATCACTGGAATCCTTAAGAGAAAGAAGAGCAACTAAACCCATCAGCATCCAACCATAATAGACCCATGACTACCATTCTTCCAGAGAAGTATTGTGCTGTTTTGTCACATAGAAATGTATTTCATTGCTACTATTTTCTGATGACTCATTGCTGAGAAATCAGATGAATGTAATTCTCCAGGTGGATTGAAGTCAACTGGAGAATTGTCTGGCTTTCATTAACAAGCCCCACTGCTTCTACTGTACATCTGAGTAAGAAGAATTATAAATATGAATGTAACTTTGTAACGTATAAATAGAATGTGCTTCTGGGAAATCTAATATTCTTTCTACAATCTTGCTTTGACAAAGATACTTGTATGGAAAAAAAAACCTTGAGTTTACAAATCAGTGTTGATTATCTCTTTTCCACTGTTTTCTACAGGCGCATTTTATGGATTACTGTGTATAGCAATGTCAGTAGTTGCTTCATTTATGGGAAGTGTGATTCAGGTAAAATTATTGACATTAATAATAATTATTACAAAAATATGACGTATTTACATATGATTTACATTACAGTGTGACCATTCTACAGATACCAATATGATGTGCCTTTTATTTTATAACTTTCTTTTACTGACAGTAGCTGACACCTTAATGGCACAGGATATAGGGGTCTATTCACAAAGCTGCCGAGGGCAGCCGAGTGAATGACCGATCAGAAGTGAAGTGAGCCGAACACTGTTCGGCTATTCACTTCAGGCTGGTACGGCTGATTTCAGCCGTACATCGGCTGAAATCAGCCGTACATCGGCTTGCTTCGTGTGGCTTCGGATCAGCCGAACATGCTCAGCATGTTCGGCTGACCCGAAGTGCAGAAGGAGTTCAACTCAGCTGAGCCGAACCTCCGGCAGGCTTCACACTGCTGTTCGGGCTATTCTGAAAGATCCCGAACAGCAGTGAGAGAATAGCAGAATGCCGCCGAGTGGCATTTGGCTCGGCTGTTCTGCTCGGTCCCTCAGAGGCACCGAGCAGAACAGAAAAAGAGTGAAAAAAGTAGAAAAAAGTTAATAGAAAACGATTGTGCGGAGCTAGCAGTGACAGCTAGCTCCGCCCAATAGTTTCCTATTGTCCGGCGGCTCTGTGCACGGCTCAGCCGAGCCGAGGCATATGCGATCGGCTCGACTGAGCCGCTCGGCTGTGATCGGGAGCTGTACGGGCTATTGTGAATAGCCCGTACAGCACCCCCTCGGTTCTCCTGAACCGAAGGGGTCCTGGGGCCGAAGCTAGCCGAAGGATCGGCCGAAGCTACGGCCAGATCCTTCGGCAGCTTTGTGAATAGACCCCATAGTAGTGGTAATGAGAATATCATATACTGCATAGAATGATAAAAACAATTCTGGTCATATGTGACCTATTTTTTAATCCTATTTGGTGTAAGGTGGTATATTTAGCCTTACAAATGTAGATCATTGCAGGGGTGTACCTGCACACATTTCAGTGAACACTCGTTGACATGCATGCAGCTAGGATGACTATTTCCGCTGCTGCTGGTTTCCAATATTCTGCCTTTATTTTTTTGACACATGCAGTGTTTTCATACAAATTATTAGCAAGTCAGGCAAGGCTCACATACATGCAATACTTTGAATTGGATGTATGTCAAATGCTTTTATTTGTGGATTTTCATCTTTTGCCTACAGGTAGTTTTAATGACTTTAAAAGGTTTGATCATACAGGTGAAATGTGATGTACAGTTCAGCTCCCTTTTGCAATGTCCAGAATATGTGGGGAATAATAGAACTGGTTAAACTGTATGATGACCACGTAGGCAAGTGGATGAGGTAGCCAAATGAGCAGATATCTATTCCTTCTCATTTAAAACTGCTGGCTGAACACTAAAAACACATATGCATTCAACATAATAATTATGATAGCCTTTGCCCTACATAATTCAGTCGGTCTAAGGGAAAGCCACAGGTTTATTCAATTGGTACAGTTGCACTGACAATTAATCACCAACAAACTAAAACCTGACAAGTCACTGATAGACTGTGAGCTCATTTGAGCCATAACCGAACTAACTAAACTGCACTTACCATGAGTGCCAAAGAGGCATTTGACTTTACCAGACCAAAACATAAACAGTACCATCAACCCAAGAGCTAGCAAGGTAAAACTGCCAATAAAGCTGTGACTACCTCTGAACTCAGGGAGTGAAGGCTGGAATCTTTTCAGGTGATATTATAAGTAGCACACCAAGCCCACCATTACAAATGACTACAAAATCATGCCACAATTAAACCAGATTAAAATGCATAGAAGACTGTACGGCCCTTTAAAATGAGATGCTCCCAGCAGCCAAGGTTCCCTTTCACTATAGCTCAAGGGGCTATCGTGGACCAGCTGTACCCATATATGGGCCCATCCAAGGACAGCATTGGTCTAAAACTGTTAAGCTTATCCAATAACTGGCTGGTGCATGTACACCTTTATTTGTAAAAGCAGAGAAAAAAATTTGCAGTTGTCGATTGTCTTTTACAGGAACAGTTTTAGTGGCGACTGCAGTTACAGTGTGCGTAAAATCTATTCTTCACTGTGTTTGCCATCATGTCTCACTGAATACAGTTTTCTTAAGCAAATAGTTTTTTGTAAATAAAAAAAAAAATGCAAAGCTCCTTATCTGAAGATCATGCCAGTAACAGCACATCCTTTTGCAGGCTGGCAATACTAAGCCACTGGCTCACAATCAGCAGCATCATTGTCAGCCTGCTTTGGGACTTCCTTCAGTTGCCCATTGGGCTGTCTATCTTATAGATCTCATAGGTAGGTCAGTAGTCAAATGAAGAAGTGCAAATGGCAGGCTGACAAGACTGCTGCTAATTGTGGCTTAGCAATTTGTCAGCTTGCAACAGCAAGTGCTGTTACGGGTAGTATCTACAGGTAAAAAAAACTTTGAGCTTGGGTTTACATACACCTGAAAATACTGTGAGGTTATTTGTCACATTAAACAGAATCATGAAGATGAGATCACAGGAAGTCTAAACCTTACTGAAAAAAAATGATTTAATTTTTGGTAATTTTTTAATTTAGAATGAAAACTTGAAAATCACATCCATTACCATTCATGTGAAGAAAAAATAGCTTTTGACTAGTGTCATAAGTCTGAATTTTTATCTACATTTTCACTTTTAGGCAGCTTTATCTATATTTGCCATGATTGGAGGTCCTCTTCTTGGACTTTTTTCTCTTGGAATGTTCTTCCCTTACTGCAATCCCTTGGTGAGTACGATCTCTAATTTTTTACACTAGATCTCTAGGAGCTTACGTACACATACTGTATGTTCTTGTCAGAAGTGCATAAGGGGGTTTAGAAGGAGGGTAGAAACACCCCTGAAGGAACTTGGAACTAAAAAGCATCTCAAACAGGTCTCAAATGCCAGCTGAATACACCCTTCATGCTGCACTTGTTTCTCTACCCAAGCCCCTGAAGAGTGCAATTCACAGCCAATTCTTGCAAAACTAGGCTTTAGACTAGAGTCTTTGAGGTTCTTGCACAGGGACAATACTAAGGGGGTTATTCACTCAGCTGCCGAATAACCGACCCAAATTGAAGGGAGCTGAACGCCGTTCGGCTATTCACTTCAGCCGAGTACAGCTGGCTTTGGTTCCTTTGGTTCAGCTGAACAGCCACAGCATGTTCGGCTGAGCCAAAGTGAAGAACACATTTGCGAGCACTTGGCAGTTCATTCCATGCTGTTCGCCACAGCATGTTCGGCTGAGCCAAAGTGAAGAACACATTTGCGAGCACTTGGCAGTTCATTCCCAGCTGTTCGCCCCTATTACTAACTGCTGTTGGCCCCTATTGTCATAGGTGCCAACAGCAGTTAGTAAATAGCCTAATGCTGCCCTGTTATAGTGGACAGACTACATTAACCACCATGGATTTGTGGGACTATAATACAAAATAATAGGATACAGAAGGAGTAGTTTGTGTCACTTTTGATATTATATAAATGATTATAAAAAATATACAAAACATGTAGATAAAAAGCAAATGTATAACTATTTTAAAATAAAAATGTAAACATTTTTCAATATGTTAAGGCAATATGTTTATGCAGAACAAATACAATAATCGTATTTATATATTGTTCCACAGGGTGCAGTGGTGGGCTTGGTTTCTGGGTTTTCTGTAGCTCTGTGGGTTGGAATCGGAGCCCATATCTATCCTCCACTTCCTGAGAACAGTAGACCACTTCCACTTTCAACCGAAGGATGCGATTTTATCATGGAAGATGCCAACTGGACTTCAACTACAACATCAACAATGACTATATTGTCTACATTATTACAACCCGATGACAATGCAAGGTCAGTAAACTTTGTACATTTATGCATCTTTCTTCATCCTTTTAAATACAACACACATGTATACAACATTCCATATACTGGCCAAAATCTAAGTTAAAAATTTTTTTGGTATGGCTTTCTGTGTAAGAAAATATGGAAGCAATACATCTTTAGTTGATACACAAATTCATCAATTATAAAACTGTATAATTCCTCCTTAGAAGCAGTTATGACATTTGCCACTTAAATCACCTTCTACTTATTAGCTAACAACTCTTCTTTTAGTTTACATGCAAAGATATATTAGGAGCCCTGCTGTCAAGACTTCAAAGTGCCTGACCTGCTGACATCAGTGCAGAGAATGGTCTTAATAGACACTACTGGCACACCCAGACTTCCAATGGCCAATGATTTTCCTATTACAATTTCTGACAGGGCTAATTAGGATTACATTTTCTTTATTTCCTATAATTACCTGTCCAATATTGTTGTGCATCATTGCCAGCAGCCCTGATGAAGGGTGATCTGTGAGTCCCCGAAACATATTGGCTTTTTACCTCTACATTGTATCTACTACCCATACTGGACTGAATGAATCAGCGTTGCACTCTCATTTTTCCAATACTTTCCAAAGTTTCTGGGGACTTCTTGGGATACTCTTGTCAATAAAGATCTGCCTTCAAGATTGAAGAATTGTACAACTTATCCACATCCACTTAAGAGCTTCAGCTCCCCTACAATATACATTTTTGCATTGCACTTTCTAAAGCACAGATGGTACCCAAAATACAATGAGGGACATTTTTTACAACTTGAGTAGAGAGAATCTGGAGCAGTTGACCATGGCAACCAATCAACTTCTCTCTTCAGTTTGTTCGATCAAAGTGACATTAAAGTCACAATCCCCCCC